CATAGTATAATACTTTTCACCACCAAGATTACCATTAGATTCAGTTAGTCATTCTACACTAAATACTGTAGATTATAATCAAAATCCATATATAAAACCACCATATTCTTATTCTGATCTTATAACCATGGCAATTAAAGATACAGTAGATAATAAAATAACTATATCATCTATTTACAAGTGGATTACAGACCATTTTTTATACTACAGAATGACCACAATTTGTTGGCAGAATTCTGTTCGACATAATTTATCATTAAATAAACGTTTTGAAAAAGTACCCAAAGAGAAGAATAATTTTGGAAAAGGTGGATATTGGAGAATCAAACCAGAATATGAGAATAAAAGAAAGATATATGAAGAAACTATACCAAGTGGTAAAAGAATGAAGTTACATTATGATAATGTGAGAAATTTCTATCCAAATCAAGGCCAAGAAAAGATAACTCCTTCAAGTTGTATTTTACAACAAGCCATGGATTTTAGTGGTGTAGATATTAAAACTGAACCGATTTTAGATGAGGATGTTTTCATCAATTCTACTGTTAAGTCACCAAATAGTGATGATGAGAAATCACGTGATAGTGATTCACCAAATAGTTACAGAGTATATTCACCTTACAGTGATAATGCTAGTTTACAGTATGGTGATGATAATGTCCATTCACCAACTGAGCCTATCAAATCACCAAGTACTGTTACAGAATTCTTAGATTTATTTGATTCTTTAAAGGACCGTGACCAATATTATAAAAATGATACCAATCTGACGAATAGTGAAAGTAATATTGACAATGATTGGTGGGAGAAAGCCTTTAATTTAGAAGATTTGAATAAAGAAAGTGAAGTTTTAGAGAAATCAGATATAAACCAGTTTTCAAGTTATAATAATAATAATATTTATAATATAAACAATAATGAAGATAATTTATTTAATATATTTGATATTTAATGATAATATTATGTTTATATATTTATAGTGCTATATATTTATTGTTCTATTTATTATGCTATAAGAAATAAATGTATTTATATTAAACAATGTCCTATATCTGTATAACCTTTGAAAATCACGTAGAATCATCTTTACCTAGAATTAGAATTATAGCTTGCCTGGTAACATACCCAAACAGCGACAAATTAACATACCCAATAGGACGACAATTATACCTAGTTTTTGCTGGAAAGTAGAACATAGCAAGTGATGACCAATGACGCAGCTACGATTTTTCAATAATATTGCCAAACTAAGCTTTGAAGAAGCTATCTGTATAACCTTTTGAAAATCAGGCAAAACCATCAGAAATTAACATTAGATAACTTGCCTGGTAAAAAACTAAAACAGCGACAAATTAACATACCCAACAGGACGATGACCATGACTAGTTTTTGCTTGAAAATAGAACATAACAAGTGATGTCCAATGGCGTAGCTTCAATTTTCCAATCCTTATTAGACAAAGCTAAGTCTAAGTGAAAGTTTTTAAATTTAAATTGAAAATAACGGGTATCGCCCCGTAGAGATCCCTCTCCCCAAGCCCCTCCTCAGCCTTTTTCTAGATACGGTAACAAGCTTTGAGCATACTATGAATTCTGATGGGCATCCAATCTTGGAAAAATCCAATCAAATAGTCGGACTTGTGGAAGGGGTCTGGAAATAAGATAATGGCTCAAAATTTTGACCAAATATCCAATTTCTGACTAGGTTATTAATCTTTGGTCTGTTTCCTCCCATCATTTTCAGACTCCTTAAATTTCCCATTGTCATTGCTTCTCCCCCTTCTTAGTTTGGATTTCTTTTTGAACTATACTTTGCTTCTCAACTGCATCTGATTTCTAACATTAAAAGTTTTAGAAGCTCTACAGCCTTGCCATAGTGCACCTTAGCATGCTCTTGACCTCATCAGCAGCTTTTGATGTTGCTCATTTCTTCTATGTCCAAATCTGCAACTTGTCAACTTTGAAATCTTCCCAGTCATGATCAATCTTGTATTCTCGGTCTTAAACTCTTCAACGATAAATGTTAACGGAATTTAATCGAAATGCCATGGTACAAGTGGAGTTGACTAAAGAGTTTATTAATAAAACTCTCAATCTTTTCTCATAAGGATCAAGTGCCAAAAAGGGGGTTTTGATACAAGTTACTTTTGATAAATCAAGTCTTTGAAACTCTTCAGGAAACCTGTTTTGTCGATAATTCACACAATTGTGTTTTTATGTATCTAAATTAGCTATTTCGAAACTGGATACTAAATATTTTTTGCAAGTGATATTTTACGAATATTTAGCTCTGTTTTAACAGACCCTCATTATGTCAGAAAGTTCGAAGATAAACGATCTTATCTCTATGACATTCGTGATATTCTCAAGCCACTAAGATTGATAAAGACAATCACAATTAAACAATGATCTAGATCTAACCAGTGTACTTTATGGAATACATCAAAAATGAGATTTTATTTTGAAGTTCTGGTTGTAATTATTTTCATTCATTTCTCTTCCGGTATGTAAGATTATTGAAATGAATTATTCAATTTAATTCCTGTTTGTCCTTGCCTTATCGACGCAAAGTATATGACAATTAGTCAAATAGTATATCATTAGATAGATTTGTCAATAATACTATTTTATCTGTTTTTTTCTCAGAATTTCTTTGTACAGGAATAGAAAGGTAAGGCGTAAAGCTCGATATTTATTTATTTATTTCAGTTGAAACAGAATATACACAAATAGCTATGTTAATGTCCACAATTATTTGTATGAAATTAAGTGCGAAATACGTAATAAATCGTAACGACAGATGAGACATTAGAAACTTTTAAATGAATATATATACATGTATACCAATCTACCTAATTATTTGTTTAAGCTATAATATGTCAAAAAATCCACATTGAGTTCTATTTCAATCATTCTAAAACGTACACTTGAAGTTAAGATGTCTTCTTCAATATTCTCTCGTGCTCTTATCGGTATCAATTTCGAGTGAGCTGGAAGCTGGAAGTGATAACAGTCTGATTAGTCAATGGAAGTCATTTCTGAACTAGTGTAAATGTCATTCTACACTAGTATGATCGTGTAAATCGGCATTTACATCAACATATTTTTACGCTACGGTAAATACAGATTACCGATGTAGTTGACCCCAATTTATTTGTTTAAATGTACATGGTTACAGCTTCACAACTTTTATTTAGAGGAGGTGACCAACCTTAGTAATATACGTTATAAACTTTAGCAGTTAATTTGCTATTTTCTCTGCAGGACAAATGGATACCCCTTCTTCCATCGGTAATATAAACTTAATTTCTGCATATTTTGATTTCATGAAAAGTTTAAACGAACATGACGTAGATGTGTAGTTTGATTTCTATATTTAGGTGAATATAAGCGAGTGTGTTATGTTGAAGAATGGGCAAGATACAGAAAGGGTGAAGATAAATTTACCCCAGAAGACATTGATCCTAACCTATGTACGCATCTAATGTTCGCCTTTGCCACACTAGATTCTACGGCTACCAAAATTAAACCTACGGATCCATCAGATGATCCTTCTTTGTAAGCAAATTTCCAATAGCAGTTTCTAATGATTTCCTAACCAAGTTAAATCCAATGTGTAATCGAAAGAACGCCCAAAAGATACCCCTGAAAGCTCTCTCCCTCGTTTGTAATAGAAAATATCATCGGGGTCATTGGGGGGGGGGGGGGGGCGGGTGTTTTCAGTTATCTAAATATTGTAATCAGCTTTTTAAGCCTTTCCTTTCAGTTACAAGAGATTTAATGATTTAAAACTTAAAAATCCTAAATTAAAAACAATGTTAAGTGTCGGTGGATGGAGTATGGGATCGGATTTATTTCATAAAGCAGTTGCAACGGATTCCTCACGAAACAGACTAGCTGTTAATGTGGTTAAATACTTACGAAGTAGAAACTTTGATGGAATAGATGTTGACTGGGAATTTCCAGCTAAAAGAGGAAGTACTGTTGACGATAAACATAAATTTACATCATTTCTTAAGGTAAATTTTATTGAAATAGTAGAAATGAATTATAATCTCGATCATATGTTTTATGTGGAGTTTTAAGGTCGACATCATGAATTTTTTACAAATATGATAGTTATGTGTTTCTCGTGATCTACTTAAAAACCTATAAGCAATAGATATTATCCCATTATTGTTTTGAGTTTTTTTCACGAATCAAATTCTATCCATTAATTCTCTGGGTTAACTCTGTTCTCACATCTTTGCGAGTCACTTTTTATTGAAACGAAAAATATCAGCAACAAAAAATTAAAAGAGAAACGAAATTGTAATCTTATTTCAATTAAATTGCATGGGTTACAGCTAGGGATTTGGAAGTTGATGCTGTGGATTAACTGGTAGACAAATATCTCAGAAATCAACGTTGTCGACTATTTCTTATAGCAGATTTGATCATTTAAGGCTCTGAGAACAGCTGGTGAAAATGATGCCAGACAAAGTGGTAAAGAAAGAATTCTGGTATCAGCAGCATTAAATCCCATGGAAACCATGTTTCAAACGTCATATGAAATACCAGAAATATCAAAGTATGTAATATCATCACCGATCCTCCATATTCCTGCTTAGACATAGGATCCCAACCACGTTACGCCATCGGATCTTGTTTATCTCAGCATGAATGGCTTCTCATGAGAAGCTTTGAAAGATCTGTGCTCAGGCTCGTTCTCCATGTTTGAAGCGGTCGACATATCTTCTTATTGGTTATTTGTCGGTTCCAGTCCAGGAGTGACGGGAATTTTGGTATTTTTAAGCGTGTTCACAGTTACACTTCAGTTTTTTTTCTGTTGTTTTTATGCAAAATATAGTTTTTTGCTGGCATGTGATATGAATAACGTATCGACATTGGGCACTGTTCAGACAAAATGTTTTGCTGTTTTCATAACAACAGACAGTTTTCACTGTACAGGTAGATTGGACATTGTATAATATCAAGGTTCACTTTTGGTATTTTATTATTTTCAAAATACTTCAGCTATTTGGATTTCATCAATTTAATGCTTTATGACCTACACGGTGATTGGGATGAATTATTAAAAGCAGCTCACCATGCACCATTGTACCCAACACAAGGTGATCCTAAAAACAATATTGTAAGTACGGCTTTGAAATCGTTCTACTGTATTACTCAAAGTTTCACTAACCAATGTGCATTTAAATGTTTTATTAGTCATCCAAAGAGAACGTAAACGAGAACTGTGAACAGCTCCGAGTGTGGCACGTGGACCTTTTGAAACACTTTCAGCCAGTTAGCTTTTAACCCCGTTGCTTTTAAAGAGACAGGTTCGAGATCCACTTGACCAATCGTACCTGTGTCTGAGAAACGGGAATATTTCATTAGTCATTCAAACAGAACATGAATAATAATAAATCCCAAAAACCAGTTCAAAATAAAAATTATCTCATATATTGAAGCACTACCTTGCCTCTGTATGGGTAGCGAAAGGAGTACCAAAGTCTAAATTAATCCTTGGGGTACCTTTCTATGGTAAAAGCTTTCATTTGGTGGACAAATCTAAATCAAGTCTCGGGTCCTCAGCGACTGGCGGTGCTGGTGATATAACTTATAGAGAAGTAAGTTTTTTTTTTCATTCACAAAAAGTCTTCTCATAATTCACACGATTCACTTGTGGTTCTGTGCATACATCTTGTAGGTTTGACTGAACAGTACCATTGTTATATTCTACCACATTGTCCCCTTCCAGTATCAAAAAAATACGTTTTACCACAAAACCTGGGTCTGTGTGTATTTCTTTGTGGTTAAGTCTTTGGGGGATAAACTTTCCAATTTGTTTATATTAACATTTGCAGATATGTAAGTTGATACAGAAAGGTGCCGTAGTAAACCGAATTACCGATGCTAAAGTACCATATGTATTACATAGTGGGGACAAATGGACCGGATATGACGACGAGAAAAGTCTACAAGAAAAGGTACTGGTAGTCAGAGATATTGAACGCTGTTTTTATGTTGCTACTTTTCTATCTACAATAGATCGTTGTGAATTGATTCTATGCCATACCTGAAGTAATATACATGTATATGTATTCGATTTTCGGAGGTATACTTCCAAACGAAAGTGATTTTCACGGAGCTAACTACTTAGTAAACACGTAGCAGAATGACAGTTTTTGAATGGCATTTCGTAATATTGTTAGTAGAAAAAAGCCCCCCATCCCCCTGATATAGAATCAGCTTAATGGAACATCAATCACGGGTTAAAGATATCTGCAACGTTTCGATGTGTTTCCCCTTTTTATGTTTTAGATGAAATACATTATAAATCATGGTTATGGAGGAGCTATGGTGTGGGCTCTAGACCAAGATGATTTTAAAGGTGCTTGTGGTAAAAGATATCCTCTAATTTCTGCGATGAAGAATACTTTAGAGGGTCGATTAATCGGTTAAACGTTTACCAATTCGATTTAAAAATATACTTATTTTAGTAAATTGTCTGTATTGTAATAAACGTTTATGGTATTAAATCTTACTTATAATTTGGACAATTGTAAGCCTCTAATTGTATATCTAACCACGATTTGAAGGGAAAAGTACATGTAGAAAATGTGTAAGTTTTTGTTTTGATACAAGGTGTTCGTAAACTGACTTTCCTTCTAACGTTAATAAGACCTAAAAGTCAGGTATTGCTAATGATGCACTTTGATGAAGTACCAATTAGAAACGTTCATCATTTGGAACGATTCCAGGTAATTAAAAGTGTGTTGCACTTCCGGATTATCGCCTAGACGAATACATGATATAAGTCTTACCTTATTTTATATGATATTTTCTAATCCTTCAGAAGTCAAAACATTGAAGACAAAAAATGACACATTTTAGAAATGGATTGTTCAGACACCATCAGAATCAGTATTAAATGTAACTTTCTCCCAATATGAACATATCAAGTGCACACAATATCAAAACAAAATACAATTCGATTTATAGTATTATACATTTTCTTTACTTTTCTTGACTTTCTGACAAATTCAAATGATAAGAAAGTTTATAATAAATATAAAGATATGAGTAAACAATGCTGTATCATAATAAGACATTACTAAACTATTTTCTTCTCCAGACAACAATATGTCTATGTTTTTGACAATGATGGTGCAAATTATCTACATTGTTAACAATTAACTGGACTATTTTAGTTGATTTTGACCATAACAGTCAGATACACGCTGTGCCTTTATATCAGTATTAGTAATACTAATACAGTAGTCTGTGTCTATGACGTAAATGAACTAATTCGAAGCTAGTAGTTGCAAATCTACTCCAATGGTAATTACTAATATGCTTACTTACAACCATCTTCTGCCATTTTGACGCCGTAGTACCGACGGAACATATTGTCTACAGCTGGATTTTTGAGGTAATTCGTTTACTTGACACTCTTAGATATCTGAACACGTTCTATTCATTAAGGAATTACAGATTTTAAAACTAATTCCTCAAATATGGTTGTCAACATCGGAAAATTTCCAGACCCACATGAATTGATGAAATCGTCTGAAGGTAAATTCCACAGCATAACACCTCCAAAATCATATCTTTTAATAAACTCCAACTGTAAAAAGGAAAATATTAGGGGAATGGTTTCGATTTCAAACGACGAATAATGAGTAATTAAACTTATTTGAATTCATATTACGCCGTAACATCACTGATATTTGCTCAAGTTAAGGTCATCTTTCTCTTTTTTTGGCAATCTTTTATAGTCTAAGATACAAGAGGGTGACACAATGCAATAATCTTTGTTAGGAGGATTTACGAAGAATCTTTTAATATCGAACCCACCCAGAGCCTACGTCTCTCTTTGGTAATTACAAATCTGCTTTTCTACGAATCCTTCACATGCCTAATCAGGATCAGAAAGCTATGATGTTAAAACATCATTCATCTCATGGCCTTTTGCACGAGAAGACGGAGCTCTATAGTCAAACGATTCTGGTTCGTGCCAGCACGTAAGTCAACTCATGCATACACTCTACTATGTGTTACATCCATAATGAAATTTTAACCTTGCTGATATCAGTAATTACCTTCTCTAAAGTACTTCTTTCATTGTCAAAACTAATCCACTGATCATCTAGTACCATATAAGGAACTCTCTGTATCTCATCCCAAAATATTTCTCCATCACTTGCAATGTTACATACCTTAAAAAAATATCCCCTTAAACAGTAGTACAAAAGCACAGAACAAAACTGGCATTTTTCTGCGAGGACGTGCTTTACTTCCACTTTCACAAAGTTTATTGTGGATAGGATCCTGTCAATTTGTGAAATATTTACTGTCTGAACATTACGTTTAACAGAATCGAATTTGTCCAATCATTTTCGAATGAATACCAACTTCAAAACAGGACTGATAGTCTTACATTTTCTAAAGGTTGGTAAATATCAAGAGACATATACTTGAAAAAGCAACTTTAAAGTAAAGAAATATTTTTACCTCATAGTAAGCTAAACCACCAGGTTCTTGTGTTATGGCACCAGCTCTACCAGGTCCTACTGATCTCACACCTGGTACTGTTTCATTATTAGATTCTATAGTATATGTTCTGGCATATGGTGACATACCAACATTTACTTTGTATGGTGGAGCCCCTTGTTCAACCCAATATAATACTGATCGATTCTTCAAAATAAAAAACGGCAAAGGGAAACCATGATCATATTTATGCTTTATAGATTTGAATGGTCATTAGAATAAAACTTTATTATTATTTATATAGGGTTCATTGAGTTTTCTAGATCAATCAATTAATAAATCAGTTACTTACAACATTATTGAATGTAAAGGGACCAACTTCCTCTGGATTTTGATATAAAGGAGCGTGATGTCCTGTCCAACCATCCCAATGACCAGTAAAATCATAGGACATGATATTAACAAAATCTACAGCCCTGAAATACAAACAGATGATCATTGTATCTTAACAGTGTCAGTGTCAAAGCCTGGTTAAAATTTAACATAGCTGCATAAATGAACCCATGAATAAAACTTAGCTATGAAAAACAAGAGCATTTGATATATCTTTTCCTATTTGCCATACAAATGGTCAGGTATGAACGTATGTTCTGGAATAATATTGAGCTAACTTAAATAGAATTTCTTATCAGTCGAAACAATGAGATAATGACTTACTCTACGATATCTACTATGTCATAAGCATCATCTATAACCATCTTGGCAGCCGAAACACTAGCTGATAATATTAGTGGTTGTAATTTGGTTACGATTGCCTCTGAGTTTATAGCATCTCTGAGTTCCTGAAGTAGATATTGAATACATCAGTCAATATTATCAATTCCAAATATATAACCTTTCAAGATGGTGGTTAAAGGACTTGCAAAACATTTGGTTGAATTGATTTCTTAGCCTGCTGGTCAAGAGTTTGCACTCACAGTATTTTCTTAACGCTTTATAGGAAAAAAGAGTTGTGCGGTCCATTCACATTGAAATTTAATCGACTTAAAAAGATAATCTTAGGCATTAAAATCTTATCCTCCTTTTGGGCGACTGATTGGTTAAAATGGGACAATGCTGGGATTGATCTTAAATAATACTTACTTCAATGAAAGATGTAAATTTTTGTCTATCATCCAACTTGCTACCACGTCGTGTAGGATACTCCCACATAATATCTATACCATCGAACCCCCATTCTCGTAAATATCGTAAAGCTGATACTATAAATATATCTCTGGTCAGTTTAGATTGAACCAGAAATGTAAACGACGGACTGAGAGCAAATCCTCCTACAGACAGTAGAACTTTCAGTTCTGGATTTTGGTTCTTCAAAGAGATGATTTGAGGGTACCTAAAACAATTAAAACTAAGTCATCAAGTGCAACAAAATCCTGAAAATCTGAAATGTACGCTTTAACAAAATCGAATTTTACATCCAAGATTTACATACAACAATTTGATGTCCATTATACAAGCATTCCAAGATTTATTTAAGAATTTGACGTTAATTACAAGAATTCCAAGATATATTTACGAATTTGACGTTAATTACAAGAATTCCAAGATATATTTACGAATTTGACGTTAATTACAAGAATTCCAAGATATATTTACGAATTTGACGTTAATTACAAGAATTCCAAGATATATTTACGAATTTGACGTTAATTACAAGAATTCCAAGATATATTTAAGAATTTGACGTTAATTACAAGAATTCCAAGATATATTTACGAATTTGATGTTCAATACCAGATCAAGATATTTTTATGTTCATTTAAAAAATTTTAAGATTTACTACAACAATTTTGATGTTCATTACAGGAATTCAAAGATTCACTTACGACAGCTTGATGTTCATTTCACGAATTCCAGTATTAATGTACGACAAATTAATGTTCATTGCACAAATTCAAAGATTTACCGACGACAATTTGATGTTCATTTCACGAATTCAAAGATTTACCTACGACAATTTTGATGTTCATTACAGGAATTCAATGATTTACTTACGACAACTTGATGTTCATTTCACTTATTCAAAGATTTACCTATACGACAACTTGATGTTAATTTCGCGAATTCAAAGATTTGCTTATAAAAAAATAGATACCCATTAAAATATATCTTTTCTTGATCAGAAGAAGAACTTTTCGAGGAACTGCCTAAAATGGGGATGCATAATGAAATTTTAGAATATCTTACATTCCCGGACTGTTGTCAGACGGCAAATCATTCCATTCTGTTGATCTTATAGAGTAATTTAGATTAATACCAGCATGAGCATAAACAACATGACTACACATCTCAGCGTTAATATCAGTAGGTAAAAATTGTCCTCCACCAGTTCTGTATTGAGCCCAATTAGTATAATAACAGACAATTCTAGGTGCTTGTACCTGAGCTTCAGTTCCTGTTAAAAAAGAGTCTATATAGTGCAATTTGTAATAACAGTTTTATCATAAATTATAATTAAAATGTCAAGATTGCGACAGCCCCTAGGAAGGACAATACGCGCGAGCCTCCCATCGAGTATCTGAAATGGTTCTTCCCCTAGAAGTGAGGGTACAATTTAACCCGCCACTGATATCAGGCTGTTTTTATTGTTTTTATTATTCAACCCAAAACCTCTCTACTTTTGTAAGAGTCTCGGAATTCTGAACATTATTCAAATTTAAACATACCTTGATAATATACAGCAAATGCTATGAGAATGGAAACAATCTACAATGTGCAACAATACTTAAATTAATTACATGTTTTTAAAAAATAAAATAATATCCATCGTAATTTAGAACATCTGAAACTTTACGATACCAATATTCAGGTTGATGAAAAAGAATGGTTTTGACCTACATATTACAATGGTCAATGATAAGATAGCTAAAAAACAAAGAAATATACAATAAACTTACTCCCTTTTCCATCTTGACCATTGTCCACTAATATCTTCTCTGATAGTGGACACAATATTATCTGGTGTTATTGTATAATGACAAGGAAATCTTCAACTTTCTTTAATAATATTAATCTTTTTACGGCTTGATCTCATATTAACATTTAGCATCCGGAAATGACATTTTTTAAACATTAATTAATATTTCTAATTCTATTTCCTGAACTTTCTACACTGTTACAAGTCAAATTTTCTGCTTAAAACTGCAATGTAACAATGTAACTGTAAGTGTTGCCCACATGAAAAAAGTTGCAAAAAATTCGTACTTGGTTGTTCTCGAAGAAAGGCCCGAGATATGTATATTGTTCAAAATATAATTTTTATTCCTGGTTCATGTACTTATACATGAAGACATGATTAAAATTTCTGAACATAACAAACTTCCTCAAATAACAGTATTAGGCACAATCAAAGTAACTGGCAGCACCCTTGTCTCAAAGTTGACATTGATCACAAATTAATTAAAGACACATCAATTTGTTCTGTTGAGCAACGCCTGGTAAACGATAATTTAACTCTTGTTCAATTTCTTCTGAAGAAATCCTGAACCTCTACTATACTGACTAATTATGACGGTCCAATTCTGATGGTTAGTCAAGCTTAAGGAAACCCCAGAAAAATATATATAAATATTTATTAAAAAATAATTCAGATACCTCCATTATGAGCTATTGTCATAGAGCCGCAATAGCTTCTCTTATTTCCTCAAGGGACTGATATAATACAAAACAATACAAAGTTTATCAATTTTTATTTAACAAAAAATTAAAATTCTAACATTATTACATGATTTTGCAAAGTGCAATAAAATTGACTCCTTTCTTTCTTGTTATACCAGAATATAAAATGAAACTTTTGCCAATAGGCCCCTCTCCCAGATAATTATTATACAGTACATATCGAGAGTATCAATATTTGCTACATCTGAAAAACATACAGGTACAACCATGGATCAAAAGTTCAAAACCTACCAATTTTGCAAAATTGTAGGAAATTTTTCTTCAATTCAGATACATGTACCTTGTAATATTTGGAAAACAAAGACAACTGGAACTTTTATCACTCTACACAATGCACCTTTTTTTAACTTTTTTTGCAATAGAAACTATAATTAGTCCTACTTTTAACTCCCATCGGAAAAATCCTCTATCTTAAAATAACATCAGATGCAAGACAAGTTTACATGAGACAAAAAATAAAAGTATCAAAGAATTAAAACTATAATAATATTGCTGGAACAGAGATAATACATAAATATACTTAGTTTCCAATTATATATCTACCATTCAACAATAAAGGCATATTGACATATTTTTCAATGAAATATTACCTACAGTTTCTGTGCAATTAAGAAATATACACACAGAGCAGAGTAGAGTATTCATTATTCTTTCAGATAAACATAAATGATACATGACAATATCAACAATAACAAACATATTCATAACAGCATTGACTGCAAATAATTATATTAATTACTGTAAAAGTTTCAATATTAGAGTCATAAGCTACAACTAAATTCTTAACTTAAATGGATAGTCATTTCAATGAGCACACTTATTTTACTAAGAGCTTAAATTTTTGTTCATAATTTTTATCATAATGAGAATCTGACATCCTTTCTGAAAAGAGACACAGACAGCTGACGTGGAGCTCTTTAAGATGGTAGAAATCATTGTTAACAGCATAAAATACTATAAACATGTTTATCAAAACAAACTTTCAAGTTAACAAAAAAAGTTTAATAAGTAATTAATTTTGTTTCAATTATACTGAAGGAAAAGGTCATCTGAGGTTATCTGAACTATTCAAATATACATATAAATATATACATAATATACAATACATTAATATACATAGTTATTTATGTCATCTGTATCACTGTGGATAAATCTTTAAATAACATATCTAAATCTTTCTCTAAATTCAATATTTCACCTGAAAAATTAATACATTTCATTAAGTCAAACAGACTATATATTAATTTAGAAGTGATCAATGCTTTGAAACTGGAATGTATACAATCTATTGCTGAAATGTTAACATCGAATAAAGGGAATTCGAAGGGAACAAATTTTAGTATCATTTCCTAAAAATGAATCTTAACCATGTATTACAGCTGCAAAATTCTTCTATTTGGTATCTTTCTTTAAAAATTAGTCCATATCAAACTTTACCAAAAGCCTGTTCCTCTAAGAGAAACAACAATCTAACACTTCAAGTCCCATAACTCCATCAACATTTATCTGATATAGTAATAGTTATACATCATGCCTTGGGCCATCAAATTTTTTTTATTAAATCCTTCCAACATTACACCTTTTATATTAGGATCAGAGAAGGCAAAGATATGATAGATATAAGTAATGTATAAGAAATAAGTAATATAATATAATATAAAGTTACCTGTATTAGCTTCACTACTTCCTACCATTGTCACTAATAATGGTTGTTTATTTATCTGTACAACCTATATCAGAATATAATACATCATATATTATATATTTTAAATAGCACAATTGATTTCAATTCAATTCCCAAAAAGTGCCACTCTTTGATTGGATTCCACAATCCCCATTGATAAATGAGAGTTTCAATACATCTTTCTGGAATAGTTTTTGAAGCCTGTAACATTAAGCTGTAAAAACTTGAAGCTTAGCATTCTCTAAACAACAAGAATTTACATTTCTATTTTTAAAAGATCAGCTCCAAATGCCAGCACTTTAACTAACATTTATATATAGTACACTAAATACTAAGCCAAAACTCAAAACTACTAAACAGTTAATAGGTGGACTGAGCAGCTTGGATCCTTTGGGCCAATGGACTTACTTAGGACCCAACCCTGTGATAATTCCTTGCTCTCACCCTACTTGTACTTATCAGCTCATCCAGTCTCGACTATCATATTTATATAAATTTGAAGAGCCAAAAAATTAAACCCAATGAACCCACGGATTGCTTTTGGTGATCCAAACCCTGAGTCTGCCTCTACATGTACACAGCATTATTACTATGATGATCTGAAATTTACAGGAATTTTACCTGATAATTGTCATATAAAGAAATAATTCTCTGGTTGGTTCCAAGTCCTAATTTACTAGCCTGATCACTCATAGAACCAAATACTGATAAAAACTGATGTCTGGTAACTTGATCTGGTACTGATTCATGAGCAACTGAAATAAACAGTTTAAATTATAGGTATTAGTAAATAATTCAGTTAAATTCTTAGAACCAAAAATTAAAATTTTTCAAGGGTGTACTATAATAGAAGTACAACAGTGAAATATGTTCAATATCTTCAAATATATTAAATATATTAAATAATGAATTTGTGTTGTCAGTACAATGAATTTTGCATTCAAAGTACACACAGAAAAAATTCAACAGGAATTGCTTTTTCAAAATATTGCCTTCTTTAATAACAGCTTCAAATTTTTATATCAGGACAACAGTGCAACATCTGGGCTACAAATCAAATATATTTTTCCTTCATAAGCAACAAGGTAAATCAATTTGATCAGATCTCTTCTTTTGTATAATGTTATGTTACATCAATCAATAATATGAATATATCAAAGCATATTCATAATGACATCTGATATTTGTCATTAAGGTAAGACTTAGGCATTCTGTTAATATTTTTGACTGGCATTTACATCAAGACCGATGGTTCAGATATAGATAGTCATTTTAACAGATTTTTGGGAGAAAGTACCTTTAAACTAAATTACATTAAGTTCTTTGCATCTCTACTTCACCCCCCACTGTGTCTTACGTTGTAAATTATTGATATTGGCTTCATTTCAGATTAAAAACCTCGCGATTAACCAAAGTTCAGAAAGAGTATGTGAAAGTTTATATTAGATTTCTAATAAATTATAAGGCTGACAATCTATTTATTTATTTGTATAGATTTATAAGAAATAAAGAGTCTCCTCTTCAAACATCAGATTCACATACTTTAAGCTTAATTCATATTATCTTTTCATTATCAGAAAATTGTTTATCGTTGAGTTGAAACCAAAGACTACATCAGCTATTTATCATTTGTATTACATGATTTTTGTTGGTCTATAGATAAACTTACAACTTGTGTTATTTCCAGCCACAATGCCAAGTTTACTTATACTAAAATTTTACTTAAGAAAAGGGCTCCAAGTACATTCTTACTATTAGATTACTATCAGTGAAATGAAATAGAAATGTAAGTCCTACTTTTTTGACACCCCAGAGTGTACTATGGTCATTTCTAATTATTGAGAATGATATATCCACACCAAGTTATGATCTGGTACCATCCTAACGGTACCACAAGCTGAGCAGAACAAAGCTTGACTTACCCAAGACATTGATACCAAGTACATTGATCATACTATTAGGTTACTATTAATGAAATGAAAACTTATGTCCTTCTTTACTTAACACCAAGTTATGATTTGGTACCATCCTAACAGTACTGCAGGCTGAGAAAACTATGGCTTGTCTTACCCAAGACATTGGTACAAAGTATATTCACACTATTAGGTTGAAATGAACTGAAAATTGAAGTCCTTATTTTGGCACTCAACCAAATCTATCATGGCCAGGTCTAGTTAATGGAAATAGTAAATCTGGTACTATCCTTACAGTACTACAGACTGAGAAAATAAGACCTTGACTTACCATTATTATCATTTTAATAATACCTGTACATACCTTTTAACATAACCACACCATCTCTATCTGTTACAATTATAGCATCAAGTCCTTCCACACTACAAACACAAAATAATATTTTAAAAAAAGCTATAAAGTTATAAATGATATTTGCATGTTAGAATTTTTGATTTGGATATCAGATACATGTTCTTAGTTGTTCGGGATGTAGTCAAAGTGTCCCAGATACATCTAGATAAACACTAGAAAATATCCTTCAATCCATTTATGAGACATTTAGGGTAGATATCACATTAAAATATTGAACCTCACAAATAGTAGGCCTTCAATAAAATTAATCTGTATTCAATTATTCAGTTTAAATTCTTTTTCATTATACAGCATATTTATATCAAAGTACTGGTATAAAAACTAAAGAAGAAACTTACTTGGACATGAACTTGAATAATGACCTTTTCAGTTCCTGTAATAGAATTTAATACAACAAATTAACAAATATTCAGTTCCAACATACAAAATAATACAGTAGACGTTTGATATTATCGCTTGAAACCTCGTATGACGCGAAAATACTTTTCGAGAAAAACGCAAAAAACTATTTGTTAAAATCTTTTTTATCATTTTTCTTACCAATTTGAGTTCTCCAACCTATTCAACCAATAACTTGTATACTAAAACAGTAAACAAGGTTTTCCGTTTTCATCTGCACAGAAAGAGGAACAATGAATCTTGTATAATATAATATTTTACGAAGTTTTAAATCTGACTGTTTATTTACTTTACTTTTTATTTATTTACTGTTATTTAACTGGTGTAAATTGTTATTTCTAAATACATTAATTCATTTTACCGAGTCACGAGGAGTCTTTAATCCTGAGCCTTAAATTCGTCTGTAAATGTCAGGAAATCGTGTGTCCGGGCGTTTAATTCTCAAAATTTTCTAAGCGACACACTTCAGACGCTTTACAAATAATCTTGAACCTTAATTTAGTTGGGAAATGTCAGGAAATCACGTTTCCAGGCATCTATTTCTCAAAATTCTACCACTTCAGACCCTATACAAATAATCTTGAATCTTAATTTCCCTGGGATATGTCGCGGATATGTCAGGAAATCTTGTTTCTAGGCATCTAATTCTCAAAATTTTATAGGCAAGATCCCTTACACCCAATACAAATAATCTTGAACCTTAAATTCGCCAGGAAATTGCATTTCAGGAAGTCCAGGCTTTCAATGGTCGTAAAGACAGCAATAACTCTACAGTAATGTGTAACAATTCACAAAGTTTTCCGGGAGGGGAGGGGGGCACCTAGATTGCCCCCCTTGATCGGACATTGGCTGGCTACAGGCCTGTATGTTATATGTGGTAAATAAATCTGTTTTAGTAGATTAACAGAATCAGAATTTTTCCGACTATTATTAGAGAGATGGAAGGGGAGGATAAAAGGAAGGAAGGTTTTGTGATTCCTCTTTTTAGTTGCACGTACAGCTCTGTCTTGGTTATGCATACTCAGCGTTCTCTTTGGACTATCTTTCAAAATCAAAGAGCTGGAATAATATTCAACCACCGAGATATGCTGCAAATAATACAAAAAATTATATTCACCTCATTCATTTTCGTTTTCTGTTTATCCAGTCATTCATTCTCACATGACTAAATGAAAGTTCAGTCTGGATAATGAAGACTTGTTTTGATACCAATTACGTTTTCTCGATAAAAGAAGCTATCTAAGGGGCGCAACTTGTTTTCTTGTAAATTCTATGTGACAACAAATATTTAATTTTCCGTAAATCTTAGACACAAAGGTATTTTTGGTTTGCTCAGGAGAATCAACACCGAGAGGACAAAATAGGTTTTGATGTACAATTTGAGAAAGTGTTATGTATTAAGTAGTTAGTAACAGACAATTTTCGGACAAATAAAGATAAATGCGAAAATATGGGGATAAATTTCTTACCTCAAGGGAAGCAACCTATACAAATATTTTTTCGAAAGTAGGTCTAACTGTAAAGTTTTTTTTGTGAAATGCCAGTGGCTCAATTACCGTAAGGACGTTAAATAATATTAACTACAGAATGCAGGAAATCATATATTAAAAAAAATATTCCCGGGCCCTCACTTATCTATTTGATCCACTGTAAAATACTTCCAATTATAGAATATGATGACTTACTGACTTACTTACTTACGAAATATAGCCTACAAATTAATAATTTAAATGTGATATTGACCATAGAAAGATGAAATAGCCATGGTGAGCTAACACTTGATCTACCTGATAAATTAATTTACAGAATTTGTAAGTCCAGTTTCTATGAAATTTTCTATATTGGGGTACGATTGGCGAATTATTTCTCTTAACATTTATAAAATGTATACAAAGACTTATATGCCTACATATTTCACCATTTCATTCTCATTACTAGTCCGTCTGACGACATTTTCTGGAATTGATTTGGGCCTTCATCATAATCTAGAGCCGAAAATTGCACATTTCGTTCATATAGACCTCAATCAAGAAATTTCACTGTTTGCGTAACTTTATTAAGATCATAAGCTTATTTCGTACTGAAAATTGGGGTATCCGAAAGTCTTGTCTCTGACACTCAGGATTTGAAGGCTCACATTTCGACGTAAGCTGTGGACACTATTACTGATTGGCTGAGCTGAATATTAGCTGAGACCAAGGTACGAGTGGCACCAAATGTGACTTCTATAGACGATGGTATTCCTGTTTTCAATTCAACAAACAGACCTTCGGACTACCCAATATTATTGAATGGAATCTTGAAGAAGTCTGCAGACGTTGTGAATTGGGAGAGATCACTAGAGAGATTGAAAGATTAACCTCATCAGTAGATTTCTAGTCAGCTCATATAATCTTATGTCTGATTGTTCAACTCTAAACCTCTCTTGGTTTTTATTACACCAGCTAGACTACTGACTATATTATCACTATTCCCTCGCTACAACAATTCATCTCCTCTCGATGAAACCAGACAATAACGTGACCATTTTAAAAGGTAGGGAATAACTAAATATCGTGAGTCAGATGTAATTTGTAATGGAAATCAAGTCTATATCAGACCGTCCTGACAATCTTTATAGACAATAACTACTTCTCTCATTCTCATAGATTAGTCTGGCCACGTTCGATATTACTGAAAGAGCTTTGATAATAAGACTGGAAATTGAACGTCAAAATGTCACTTAATTTCGTGCTCTTCACAAGTCTAAACACAAACTAAATTGAATATACAACACTGGTCTTTGGCCAATATTTCGCTGCAATACAGTTTTTGAAACCAAACATAATCTATATCAATGTAATTGAATTTATGTCAGAAATAACAAGTTATTGTATATACGAATCAGAATTAAACACCACAACTCCTGGTAGGGAATTCTTTCCATTTTCAATAAAGAATTTAAGATTCCCATGGAACACAAGTTTTGGGAAATATTTCAAGAGAAATTCTTGTATGAGAACATTTCAAAAAAATTACTTTTTGCTACATTGGGTCGACTATCCAAACGACGCAGCCGTAAATGGATAAGGCAGGGTGTTTGGCCAAAACCGTAAACCTTAGTTGTTATTCTTTGTTAAAATGATTCTCGACGACCTTGCATCCAGGTTGAAGGACTTCTTACATTCCTATTTATAAAGGCAGATCAGCAATACCCATATCCTGCCTTACCATTTATAGACTGTAATGGTGAAGAGTCAAGACGGCATCCAATCAACCTGAGCTGTAATCGTGTAATCTTATATCTTATAATCTTTGGATCTTGTCGTCGATTTTGGCAATCAGGATCTATGAAAATGCACTTAATCACAGTTGCTAGCAATCGGCCCATTTCTCGATATGATTTATGATCGACATAACCAGCGGCTTAAAAAATCCCAATTTATTTTAGTTTTGCTAAAACTAAAATTCCTTAACATATTTTATATTCAATGGGAAACACTAAAATTAGTCCTTAATTTTTGACAATGAATGCTGGACAGCCTACATTGTGTCTAAAATATCCAAAAGCGAACAGAAATACAATAGAAGCCCACGTCTCAACCAGTAGACAACACTTTTAAATCAAAGTTATACCCCCCCCCCCCCCCCTAAAACCTATGTCACACACAACAAAAGAGACATGGAGCTTTAATCATTTAATTAATTGCATTTATTACATGAATAATAAAATGACCAACATGTAACAATATTATACAATAAATCAAGGCATATAATTTCAGTAGTTTAAAGACTAGCAAATAATAAACACAGTTATAATTTCAAATAAACCGAAGATTGAAGACAATTTGGTACATGCCATCTTTAAATTATTCTTACTAATGAGAATCACAACCTCCAGAATGTATATTGTTGCCCTTTCTATTTTATTTTTTCATAAACATCTTTCAATATTCATCACTTTTCTAAGTTTTTCCCAAAGAAACTAATGGAAATCCTCAGAGTATTAAACTGCAAGTCCTAGATATTTCTTTTTGGATTTTGAGAAGTATGAAATTTAAAGGGACAGATTCGCAATTTTTGGGGTTTGTTTTGGGTCTTGAATACATGTAAATAGTCTTCAGAAGTACAAGAAATGTACAAAATTCGCAAAATTCCTTCAAAAATACCTCACTAGAATTTCTATTCTATATGTCTTTTCTAAATATGGCAGAGTCTAATTCTAATTCTGGATTTGAAGGCTAAAATTCGACGTTTCTGAGACTCAAGTACAATTGTTTAGACGGACCTATCCCTTTAACGAAAAAAATAACAAAATTGATCTATAAAAACAAACCCTTGCTGCACCCCGTTTCTTGAATATTGCACTCAATCTAACCAAAATATTGAATTTTTTTAAAACAGCCGTTCGTCCATGGTTTTTATTTTTGGTGTACTATAGCATATATACGTACAATATCCCCTTTTTAAAAATAGCCCCGGTTCTACTCTAGATAATACTTAAGCTCAAATGTGTGAGGGTTGGGTTTTGACATAAACTATAAAATTAAGCCTTTTATAATCCTCTGTTGAGGTTATTTCAAATACCCATAAACTAACAGGTTAACACACCACACCCCAATTTTCTCGTACTAACCATTTGTCCAATACAAATTTACCGTTTTCGTCCTGAACCTAGATTCCGTCATACAAAATTTGAACGACAGAATTTATAATCTTCTAAGTTTCTTGATAACAAAACAGATAAATAATTATAGAAATATAAAATATAAACCCGAATAAAAGCCGTTTTGATTTTGATAATAGCAAGTACATGCCTTACTTGACCAGATATAACGCAGAGATAACAAAACCTATACTAGACAAGTGCACCGCAGTGTTGCTAATATCCCCGTCACACCGGAAAGAAAAACTGCTGCGGCGACAGACAATTATCTTAGAGCATGTTAAGGTTGCCCTAAGCGTGGTATAAGGAAGCGTCAGATACCTTACGGTGGGCGCCATTGTCGCCAATAATCGCCGGTGAAATCGCTACAGAATCGAGAATGTCTTTAAATAAGCGTCGCAACATCTCCATAAACGCAATAAAAATGATTTGTACTGAAATTGACATTTTCTTGCGTTTTCTTCACGTTTGTCGGCAAATAAGTAGTTGCCCTAAGATCGTAAATGGTCGCAGTGCGGTGTGACGGGACTATAACACATTAACTGCGCTATTCTAACCAGCGCGCATGTGATACGAAGCTGCTTTTGTGCTGAATTGTATCCTAATGGTGTATTTTATAAAGCATTGCATCTTGAATTTATAAATTAAAAAACAAATATGAAAAACTTGTACGGAATGAAATGTGTATATACAATATGAGCATAATAATGTAAAGCGAACCTTCACATTTTGACGATTGGAACTGGGCAACAGACCGACATGTTGAAAATATTGATAGACACGTTAATGATTTTCACTTACATAGAAAACATGATTGCAATAAACTTGTCTGATCTGTAACATAAACGAAATGTTTACACATTCCATATGGCTATACAGATATAAAACATATACTAATATTCATATCTTTTATACACGCTAACCTTTATACGTCGTTACCTTTCAAGATTGTAGGTAATTTATTCAATAACACATTATACAGGTTCTCTGAAAATGATGCCATTTTGCAGCACCAAGTAGCTCAAACCTCAACAACGTTCTTGTCTCAAAATAAATTTCATCGTCTTTGGATTTCAATAAATAAAAGCTGGATTATATGAATGAAAGAATAATATAATATCAAATGAACGATTAACAACACTTAACAATGTAGACCGGCACATACATATATTTAATTTCTCCTTTATATAATAACAAAATATATTTCAACCTTGTTTATGATATAAGTTTTGATATGCCAACACCATGTCCATATCCACAAAAATATCAATAACTATACCCAACTTCAACTTGTCTCGACAAATTCACAATATGAGCACAAATCCATTTTTATCAGGTAAATGGACATCACATCAACAATAGTCTCTTAATATGACCCTGTCGATCAGGTCATTCATCTTCAGAACCGTCGACTACTAAACATCGTTTGCCATACAACTACACTTGACCTCGCTTCTTGTACAATTCATTCTACACATTCAAGAGCACTTTTCGTGACTTAATATCGACATTAAATTGTCTGATTTCCTTTTCTTATCTTGAGATTACAGCAACACTGAATTTGGCAATATGGGACACATAACACAATGATGAGTGCTATACTTATATACCAGAAGCCAATGGAGAAGCTGTGTGACCACCTTCAGATGATGGTTGGTTGTGTCATAGTATTCCGAACCAGCCAAGAATTCTCTCCAGGCTTAAGGAGTCGAAAAAATAACATTTAGGATTTCTTCAAGGGAAATCATTTATTGCAATTTTTTGTTCGTGCAATGACACTTTTATACGAGAGTGAAGCTCCTTTGCCTCTATTAACATAGACATCAAATACATAGTTCGTATTCGGTTTCAAATTTTTAACGGTTTTCCTTATTGGCTTATATCGATCTTTGTACCTCATCCGAACACAAAGGACCTTGTCTTTTTTCCGTCGACCAGCCATCTCCAAACAATGATGACTTCTCTTCTTCGGAAGAGTTGATGACTGACGCTTATACAAACAGTACCTTTGTTTAACATGGGTAGCGAACCAAGACAGTGTTATAGAATTACAAGACGTTGCTCTTACTTTCACTTTCGTATCTAACGGTAATCGAGGCTTTTTGTATATCGACGATATTAACAAAACAGATACAACCCTTTTACGATTTCTGTTTCCAGTAAATTCTATGGTATATTGTCCCTCGGGCAGATTTCTCATTCTTAATATTTTCATATTGCGTACTACAGTTTTATGGATACTGTTATTACCGTGAAACATGGTTATAGGTAATTTACCACGACACGATTTCAGTTCTAAAACTGCGGAATCTAGTTTACGTTTTGTGTGAAACATCACTTGCTGTTTAACAGTACCTTTCTGTAATTTAACAGTTTGTCTTTGTCCATCTTTAAGGAGATAATTTCTCGAAGTTTTGATTTTTGTACCACTGTAAGAGGCATCGATATTATATTGTCTATTCAAAACAAACACATCCACGTAATATAATTTTCCCAATTTCGCCTTTTTGTAAGTGAACTGTGTTTTAGATCCAATACACTTATGAAATAACTTATTACCACGCTTCGATCGTTTTTTGGTGTTTTTCTCCCACGAAAAACCAAAACCACTATGAGCCGAAGAACCTTCGTCTGTTGCCTTGGCTGACCAAACTGAACAATAATTATTGAAATTTTTAGCACGATTCACGACCACACAATACTGAATAGAACTATTAAATCCTTCAACAACACCGTTTGCTTTATTCCATTCAATAGTAAACATCCTTTCTGAAGTTGAAGTTATTCTGACCGATTTATCAAGAGGCAGTACCGACATGGCATTATTTGATCTTGGAGTAGTCGTTCCGTATATTTTGGCACTGGTATCACTGTCTACAGCTATAATTTCCAACATATACAACCCATAACGTACACGACGGTGAAAATAGGTGGTTGCTTTCTTTCCTGTAAAGTTTCCAATAACTCTATAAGCAGCTTCAGGATTTTCACTAACTGATCTTTGGGCGTGGAAAGGATCTGGATCCGGATCTGAAGGTAGAACGTATTGACTTTACAGTAAGGTTATAACACAAAGGAATATTTAAAGGTTTGACGATAAAAAAACGAAGATAAGCATTTACCAATACGAATGCCTGCAAAGGTACATATACCAATATACCAATTTCCTAAAAGGAATGACTTAAACCGACGTAATACCGATGTATTATAATTGACATCTGGCGGTTGAAATGAATGGTAAGTTAATGACAACACCGAGATATTTTCAATGTGTATAAGTTAAGACTGATATGGGTGGCATGGCCATATCTTGGTCGAATTCTCATCTTTTTCAGAGAACCCAAAAATATCCTGTAACTTCTTTTTGTTTCAAGGACTTTGGTAAATAGTATCATTCCTAAAGACTTAACCGAATTGGGATAATATTTTCAAAGAGTTTGATTGAAATGTTGATTTGATTCCAAAAGCACCAGATGTAATCCACGAACTATTATTCGAGAAATGTAAATAGGGAAGGCCTATACTTATATTTCTAAAATTACTAAGTATTTCTTATAAAAGTAGCCGATGGTAGACAAATAAAATAGAACTGTGGAAGGTCACACATTCTTAGAAAGATTCAGCAGGCTGCAATAACATAAGTGGGAAATATATAGCAACGAAATAGCATGTGTGGAAAGAAAGGTATTCTGATTATGCCAATACAACAAATGCTCCTATAACATATTATCGCAGGTAAACTGGGATGCCTCCAAATATATTTCCTCCAAATCACTTAATGCTATAAATACCAGTATTGTTAAAGACTTAACTTTTTCAAAAGGTTGATTGGTGCGAGAAAGTTTCTTTCGCTGGGTGCATTAAGAATCTACGTTTTAACCTTCTCAATTACCAAACAACATATGAAGACGATCATTCAATTCATAAGATTGAAGAAGAGAGCCAGAAAAACAACCAAAGCGAGTGCAAGAGTATAATCAAATTGTCATAAGCCAGTTGTAATCGGTTTGAACTCTAGCTTATTTAATTGGGAATTATTTTGAATAAATACACCTGTTCTAAAATACCACCTTGGTAGAAAAGGAAATATTTGAAATAGAAGTAAACGTTATGGGATTTTTTCATTTTCATCAAGTATGAAAAAGCCACAGTTCGTTGTATATCAGATCGGCTGTTTATTACTATTCATTTGATATTACATGTTTTTAATATGCATAAATTTTTCTTTTCGATGGCAATTCACTAAATATTGCAATTCACAAGAGGTTCCGACTACATCTCGTTGTTTCGGTGTGTGCCTGCTGATAAACATTAATTATTTAAGAATATTGTTGACGTTGACGTTGACGTTTCTAAGCTCCTTTAAGTTTTCCATATGTCATCTTCTCTTTTTAATTTGATATGGATTTTATTTTCTAGAATCATGCAATGGAAGCGCCCTATGATCGAGAACTTATGCAAAGAAAAACGTTAAGACGAAATGGGTTTGACTTCTTGGAATAGTACAATTTGACATCAACAGCCCATAAATGTTCAGTCCGAACCAATAAAATAACATTATATGGGTACATCTGCATACCATGCAATGTCTTTGAAAGAAAACGCCAAAGAGCTTCAATGACCTCATAAGACAATACTGGAAAGAAGTATGTTTTAATACAGCTAGGTATGGAGAGTCATCGTACCGTTGCTAAAAGAACATGTATCTCATACGGCTTGCTCAGATAACTAATAGTTATTTGGCTGCACATTTTCCTGATCATTACTTTAATTTCAATTACAGCAACCAATTTCCAGTTCTATATATTTATCATAAAAAAAAATACCTGGATTGGTTTCATGATATGTGATTAGTTCTTGATAAATACTGTCTAGACTTAACAAATAAACCTTATCTTGAAAAATCAATGATTGTGAAGTAGAAATTGTAAACCAATATAACCAGATGGAGGTTTTTATAATATATTTTATAATCTAGTCCTAGTTATAAGCTCACAGTTCATATTTAATCATCGGATTTTATTCAGAAAATATCGAAAAGAATTTCTTGCCTTAAATTGGACAGTACCAGTGTAACCTTTTCGAAGACACCTTGCTTTGCGATTCTACAAAGTATCTAATGATCCATAGGTAGCTGTTCACTTAAAAATTCCAATTCTGTTGATTTCGAGGTTGTTCTTTTTCTTATACGGTTTTATGACTCCGTATTGGTCCCTATCGAGACCTGCTCGTAGAACTCTTCAGAGTCAAACTTTGATACCTTTCTCAAACAAGTCCTTGCCATTATTGGACAGGATCTCCATTTGAAAGTACCCTTTAGTTATTATTATCATCTAACGTTTCAACTAATTATTGATAATTACCCGATAAATGTCGTTATGTGCTTAATTTTATCAAAGAAGTGTGCTTATTACATAATATTGCCTTTCGTTTGTGATAGGATAAATACTTGGTTATAAGATGAAATATTATTAATTACGCACACTTTCCCACAAGTAGTGCAGAGTTCACAAAACAAGTCGCAAAATGACAATACTGTGGAGCCCAAATTCAATAAAACTCAAAAGCTGAAAGCAGTCATTGGCTTATCGGTGATAAAAAAGCAACTAACTTATGATCACTTATTGGAGATGTAGATTTTTGTAATAAAGTTAAGTCAATAGATCACCTGAAAGTTCTTCTTCTTCAACGTCTTCAATGTCTGGTAGTAATGTTCCTCTTTTTATAACCCACCTAATGGTTGCTGTACACGGACTTATGGTAATTTTTAATGGTGAATTGTTTTTCTCCACACGGAAAAAGTAACTGAAATATACAAGAATATTGCACAATTAATATCATAGCAAATGGCAATGCGATTAGAGTGGGTGTCACGAAGTTATACTACTATATTCTTGCCAAAATAAGTATGTCAAAGTTATGTCACGGAGAAGAAAACGTCTTGCAATGGCGGCGCCAGTGGGGTTACAGGGGTGGTTGGGCATTTGCCCCCCTAGAAAAATAGTTTGCATCCCGAATTGTACCCCCACCTTATTCTCTGAAAATTTGAATTTTGTACGTTTTTGTTCCTAAATATGTGTCGGAATGCACCAAATCAATTCAATTTTTTAAAATTTTCTTGTGACAAAGTAGCCGGATTCTGATTTCAGCATGGATAGTCATGTTCCCCCATTGAGTCTGTCTGCCTCTTATATATGGCGCCGCCATTGTTGTTGTCTTGACTCCCTCACGGACGTCTTCGCGATTCATAATAGCCTAACGTTGAGAAGATGCCTAACGAAATGTTTTATTGTGGACATGAATACATATCGTAACATCCTCAACATCGCAATAGACAAGAAAACAAATTCAAATGTTCACAGCAATGGATCTGTCTTCAAAGTTATTTGACTTTTATTCGCAATAGTTAATCAAACCCTAAGTACTGTCAATTCATTAACCATATTATATCTAAAATGGGTCAAATTGAATACTTTTGGCAGGAAATATTATTTTGATTTTTCATAGAGTATGTCAATTAATTAATCTACAAAAATTACTATAATATAATACAGATGAGTTATTAAAAAGTAACAGACTATTATATAAATACAATTAATGTCTGTATCCGTTTTAATGGAAATTTGGCGAAATTAAAAAGCACCATTTAAATAGTGGAAAATAGTAATTGAGATATAGTAAACCTAAGACTATATAGTATTATGTGTAATAGTAAACATGATTAGAGTTAATTAAATCCCGTGTCAAGGTTGATATTACGATGCCAATATACTGACTGTTAAATAGGCTGAAACTTCGATATACATCTTTCATTATATATAGTCGTCGACAACTCAACCACAATTTATATTCCAGTAGCCGTTATAGTTTATATTGCCTTTAAGGTAAATTTCAATACTAGTCTACTCTTTACATACACAAAACAGACCTATTTTTCATAACCTTACAAGTTCTAAACAACTCGCTAATCCGATCCGTATCTTTTAATGGTTATATATTTTAGATCGAACTGGGGATAGCAAATTATTCGCGATAGATCTAAATCTATATCTAAATGAAGCTTGTTCATTAATAGTAAAATAGTTCTTGATGGAGCACGTTCATTGATAGCAAAATATATTTTTGACTTCAACTAGCTCATTGATAGCAACAAAAGTAGATAGCAATATATTTAATGATATAACTATCGCTTGTTCATTGATAGCAAAATATATTTTTCTTTTAAACAAAGCAAAACATTTCATCGTCGATAGCAAAATATCTGTCATAAACTTTTCCGCTGATATTATTTCTACATACAGTTGATTCATTGATAGCAAAACATTTCTTGGTAAAACATGTTCATTGATAGCAAAATTATATTTCTGGTAAAAACTTGTTCATTGATGAGAAAAAAAAATTTCTGGTTAAATACACCCTCGCCGATAGCAAAACATTTTGATGAAGTTCTCACTGATAATATAATTATGTCTCGATAAAGCACGTTCATTGATAGCAAAAATGTCTGGTCTTGTCGATAGCAAAACATTTCTAGATAAGCTTTATCATTTAAAGCAAATATTTCTCACCATTTTCAAAGCTTAAAATGAATATGTTTTAAAATAGTGCATGTCCGGATATATCTTTACAAAGCAGATGACAAAATAGTCTTTGATTGTCCTTTAAGTTCAATGATGGCAAAATATTTGAAGATGAATATGGTCAATGTAAGCAATTCTTTTTGCCAAAAAAAAATCAGCAAAATACTCCAGATAAAACTTGTTCAATTTAAAAAAAAAAACGTTTGCAATGGACGAAAAAAACCCACTTCATTCTTGAGGAATTTGCTAAGTTATTAGTAAACTATATTGACCCAATAAAACAGCATCTAATACATGAACTTCACTGAAAATGTCACAATTTTCTCAGAAAGAACAAATATCAGTAAATAAGTGAAAATTCGTGAAAATATCATTATGACTCTATTCCTGGGTGTTAATAGTCAAAACAAATGAAGTATATAATTAAAATGTGTTTTCTATGTTTATAACATGTAGGAACAGGGAAGTTAACAATTATTAACCACATTATTCCGCCTTTTTCTCTTTTATTCAAATTTGTGCCAATGAGTACAAACGTATCTAAAATGAACCACGATACCCGAAAGGGAACTTAATGTCCTCAGATAAGACAAGCGAAATCGCAGAGCGTATTGGAAGTTCCAAAGCGAGACGTACATCCATACGACATCTTTTACGATTACATGCTACTGAAGCCAATATTTTTAGTAAATTTCGGGGTACTTTTTTTTTTAGGTTACTTTGATTTGAGAAAGTACATTTTCTATTAGCTTCTGCAACAGATTCCACTAAGTTTATATTTATTCAAGACGGTGTGAGACATAAAAGGTTAGTGACTTCATGTATAATAAACACAGGTGATGATGACTTGATGTCACGAAGTTATACTACATCATTTTCATACTTATAGAGTTTTGGTTTTGAATTTTATGTATGATATTTAGTACGGCACATTAGGGAAAATATAACGGTCGTTAGTGTTATAATGCCCTTTTAAACCTGTATTTTTCTAATTTTTTATCTAAATTACTATAGACGTTATGATATAATAATGAGACTTTCACTAAGCAATGGTGTAATGTTAAAATGTTTATCTTTAAGAAACCTATAACCACCTGTTTTTACTAACTATTCTATAATGTTATCTTTTTAACTGTGTCAGATTGTGGTAAACCACATAGCTTCCTTTGATGTGAATTGCATGACCCAGACACTAACAGGTTCCTGAAACTATTCGGTTCGTTGCCAGTACCTTTTCACGTGTAGCAGTAACAAGATTTCACAGATTTTCAGTCCAACTGAATTTATTTTCTCGTCTTGTGCGTGGAGATTAATCGATTCAACGTGGTTAACTTTTACAACCCCATCGTCTGTGTCTTCAAATGATAAATATTTGATAAACTAACAAGGAAAAAGCTCTTGAAAATATAACAAGATAATTTTGATTTTCTCCTATTTGTCTTGTAAACCTTGGCATTATTTCAACTTCAAAAGTTCAGAAAAAATTATGATGAATTACAGATGTTTTGATGGCCAATTTTTAAATACACACTTTATTACAGACACTTCAATCTTGCGTCCCAGGATACATTGCACTTTTATCAGGATATGAATTTTCATCATGACATGATATCCGCTATACCTGGCTTCAAACTACTAATTTGTTATCATTTCACTATAATGCAATAATATTATTAGTTCTACGATGAAACTTGTTATGTATGTATATTATATATTGATAATATTTCGGTCAAGTTCAATCGGACGAACGGTTTTGGAGTTATTGCTCATGACTTACGCGTCAAATTTGGCATGTAGACACGATAGAAGCTTTAGTTTTATTTGATCTTGATAAAACTTGGTATGCATGTATATATATCGACGAGATCTCGATCAAGTTTGAATTTGGTAATAATCGGATGAACAGTTTTGGAGTTATTGTTCTTGACTTAGGTAAAAAGGCATTGGATAGTAAGATTAATTCCAGTTTGGATCTCTATTCTGATATCTGAAATGATCCAGTTGTTACCATAGTGCTTCCCAATGTACCTTGAACACCAATTCAAATCGGAACTTATTGATCAGCTATGATCAGTCGAATGACCAATAGTTTCGTTCTCAACATGATCGCTCGACAATGGGAGCTTAGCACTGGATTCAGTAGCGGAACCAAAGGGCGACACGGGGAGGGGGAGGGGGGATTGTATAGAAATAGACTAATCCCAAGAATATAGCAGTGGACTAATCCAAAGAGTCATCAGGTGTTAAAACCGTTAAAGATCTTTGGGCTGTAAATTTTAGAATTCCATCTTATTTTATACTAAATGGTTGACATTTTTGGGTGCAGTTGGACCATTTATACCAGCGATTTTCAACCTGTTATTGTGTGTGTCCCCAATCTGAATCAGCATGAAAACGATGTCTTCAGAAAAAAATGTAATACGGAATGATCAGATGCTGTATATATGTTGTATTTTTTTCGTGACACATTAAAAGTTCAAATTTCCCCGTGGTTGAAAACCTACGATATATGCTATACTTACTTTTGTGATTTTCCTTTGTAAAAGTAGGCAAAGACTGAGGTTCCATCTGGTATTATACGAGTTGACTGGAAGGCTTCCTGCTGATCGATTGGAAAATTGAATTTCTCATCATCTTTGGGTGGTAAATGTTGACAATAAGTTAACGGAATGTACAGCAATAAAACGATAATATTTCCCACTGCCAGTAGATTTTCTATCCGATCAGACAGCTGCATCTTCGACCTCCTGGAAAAATATATACAATTTGCATCAAACTGTGAGTATTGAACAAACCAGTCTTATTTAAATTAGACCAAACTTTCGTCCGTTTTTTTAATTAGCTATTTTCTTTAATATAGCCACTTCAGTTCGGATCTAATGACATCCTTCTTGAACGTTCGACAAATTAACAATTTGACCTAACCTGATAAACACCGTTTCACAAAATGCCAGCGCTGGAGAGGGTAGAAATTTGATTGGTAAAAGCAGACGTCATCGAGGTAGGTCAAAAGGTTAATTTGAAGATCGTTCAAGAACGCTGTCGTTCGACCCTAAATGAAGTGACTTTAAAAAGCTAATAAATAACGTAACTAAGTTTAGTCTAATTTCAATTAAACTGGTGAACAAACTTAATAGCTGGGCAGCTTTTGAGGTTAAAATAATATTGTATTAAGAAGTTTTTCAAAATTCCTGACCAAAGTAAAGAACAAATCATATCCTAGGGTTAGCTCTATAAGACCAAATAAGGATGTAATAGTGTTGTGGGTAAAGTTAATTTAAATGTTCCAGGAACATGGTGATGTTGAAATATTGGTTAAATTAATACAAAAACAAATGTTTCGCCCAGACTTTCAAAAAATGTTGTAGCCCGTAGAAGCCGGCTTACTGCCCCTAACATGTATGAGGATTTTCGATATTTTGAACTGACATTTGAAAGGACATTCTGATTTTTTTTCGTACGTAGAACATTTTTCTCAAATTTGCGAAAACTATACACCAAAATCTAGAGAAAATTGTTCTCTAGACTTATCTGAATGTTTTAACTAAGAAAAATCCCGCCGCTACGTTTACGTCAACTTTTTAAGTTCGTTATGCTTTTTGGAAGATGTTAAAAAAACTACTGTGCAGATTAATGCAAGATAAGAAATATATCTAAACTAAATATATTAAGTCATCAACATCAGCACTAGTTTCAGCTGTTTAATTTATAATTAGTACACTCCATTCTTAATCAACCCCTTTAACAATTAATTCAGTTTTTATTAAAAGTAGATACATAGATGTAAATAGTATATTTTAAATATATTTTCAGGTATAATTTACGATGTTTCTGATATTGAAAATTCTGCATAAAGCCACTTTAAATTCACCATAGCTATTGGCTTTCTACAGAAGAACAAACAACATACTGGGATGAACAATAATCATAACCCAGATAAATAATACCAAATGAAATTATTTTGGCATTATTACTAAAGATGTTCTGGTGCGTCCAGACTGCCCACAGTTCGCAAAGACTAGCTTGTGATTGTTGGCACGAAAATGTTCGCCGTGGAACAGCTGTTAATATTTTGATTATGGTAGTTTTTAAATTATTAAATCTAGAAGACTTATTCATTCATAATATATCAGATGATTTCTACCTCGTGATAGTTGTATCTCAGACGTGCTAAACTTTCTGATCTTAGACCTACAACATGTCTTATCTATGTAGGGATTCTATAAATATCTTTCTGCATTCATCTACTGTCATCGAAGATAAACCAATTTCTGTTCGCATTCATCATAATAATAAATTAGGAACCTTCAAAATTCTATTTCATAAGATACACAGAGCATTAATAATAAAAATTGTCTTAAATAACATGTCTGATGAAATATATACACACATTGTTGCCAAAACCATTAACATAATATAAAAAACGAATGACATACAGAAATGACAGCTAAAACATAAAAAAAGACTATAAAAGGAAAAAAATTAACAATCCAAATACCACTGATAGATACCAAACGTCATAACTTCGAGAACAGATAAAATATTCAAATATCAGAAACTTTATGAAGCTATAATTCTTGTTAAGTAAATTGGCCTGAAGACAACATCCAAGCAACAATATTTTGAAAAAGACCACTCACAGGTAGCCAAAACCCTAACCCTCGCAAGCACAAATTAATTAACTAGCCAAAAACTAATCTGGTATATTTATACTATATTGACAGCCAAAAGCCAATAAACCGTCATGACTATTTACAAACACAAATCCAAAAACCAATCAAAAATTGTCAGACCTAAACGAACCAGGATTATTGACAAAAACAAACCTGCTATAACTATCCAGAACTACTGTCAGAAACCATTCCACTCAAACCTATTGACAGAAACCATTCCAGTCAGAACTACTGACAGAAACCATACGAGTCAAACCTAATGACAGAAACCATTCCAGTCAGAACTACTGACAGAAACCATTCCAATCAGAACAACTGTCAGGAACCATACCAGTCAGAACTGCTGTCAGAAACCATACCAGTCAAAACTACTGTCAGAAACCATTCCAGTCAAACCTATTGACAGAAACCATTCCAGTCAGAACTACTGACAGAAACCATACCAGTAACACCTATTGACAGAAACCATACCAGTAACACCTATTGACAGAAACCATACCAGTCAAAACTACTGTCACAAACCATACCAGTCAAACCTATTGACAGAAACCATTCCAGTCAGAACTACTGACAGAAACCATACGAGTCAAACCTAATGACAGAAACCATTCCAGTCAGAACTACTGACAGAAACCATACGAGTCAAACCTATTGACAGAAACCATTTCAGTCAAAACTACTGTCAGAAACCATACCAGTCTAACCTATTGACAGAAACCATTCCAGTCAGAACTACTGACAGAAACCATACCAGTCAAACCTATTGACGGAAACCATTTCAGTCAAAACTTAACTACTGTCAGAAACCATACCAGTTTGAACTACTGTCAGAAACCATACATGTCAGAGCTATACTGTCAGAAACAATACCATTTAGAAGTATAGAACTATACTGTCAGAAACAATACAAGTCAGAACTATACTGTCAGAAAAAATACTATTTAGAACTATACTATCAGAAACCATACCAAGCAGAACTGCTGTCAGAAACCATTCCAGTCAGAAATACTGTCAGAAACCATACCAGTTAGTTCTATTGTCAGAAACCATTCCAGTCAGATCTGCTGTCAGAAACAATAAATGTCAGAACTACTGTCAGAAACCATACCAGTCAGAACTACTGTCAGAAACCATTCCAATCAGAATTACTGTCAGAAACCATTTCAGTCAGAATTACTGTCAGAAACCATTCCAATCAGAATTACTGTCAGAAACCATTCCAATCAGAATTACTGTCAGAAACCATTCCAATCAGAATTACTGTCAGAAACCATTCCAATCAGAATTACTGTCAGAAACCATTCCAATCAGAATTACTGTCAGAAACCATTTCAGTCAGATCTGCTGTCAGAAACAATAACAGTCAGAACTACTGTCAGAAACCATATCAGTCAGAACTACTGTCAGAAACCATTCCAATCAGAACTACTGTCAGAAACCATATCAGTCAGAACTACTGTCAGAAACCATTCCAATCAGAACTACTGTCAGAAACCATTCCAATCAGAACTACTGTCAGGAACCATACCAGTCAGAACTGCTGTCAGAAACTATTCCAGTCAGAACTACTGTCAGAAACCATTTCAATAAAAAGCAATCGGTACTTCTGACAGAAGCAAACCCACCAAAACTATGAACAGAAGAAAATCTACGAAACTATGAAAAAAAGCAAGCCCATCATAACTAAATGTACTTCAATACTCGAGACACTAGTTGTAGTTCGAGAAAGAATTTATAAATTCTGGCTAAGTAATATTGAATGTAATGAATGGTATAAATTATAAATATAGCCTCAGTAAAGATAAAATATATTTGGAAATCATCGCTATTAATTATTCGTATTTAATGAGCTTTATATATGGGAATTTTATCTTAACAACAATTTTAATTGAAAGTATTTGGCAGATACAAAGCGTGAAAAGAATGAAAAAAGATAACAATTACACACGATTTCTTACATTTTTCCTGACTTGACTTGTTTTTAGCAACTTCTGAAGATAAGTTATAGCTGTTTGAAGACATGATAAAATTTCTTGTCAAATTGGAATGACATTTGTTATCACGTTTTATCTTTTAAAGTGAAGACGAAGAAAAAAAAGAATGATTCTTGTTATTTCATGAATGGGTTTCAGTCGTATCTTATTATTAGCTGAAAGGAATTAACATAGACCTATTTTCCTAAAGTTAACTATTTCTATGGAGGTAAATTAATAAAACCGATTCCTATGTCCAATGTAGTCAAAAAAACAAATTGCAGAAGCTTAAGGAAAGACCAATAGGCAATGCATTTGCCTTAAAAACATTTCAGAGCATAATACGCTATACCTGTGTTTCGAAATTTGTCTAAAGCTGCCTCCACACGATCATACATTTGTTCAAAACATCATCACACATTTGTCAGATGGTGTTTTGAACAAATGTATGAACGTCTAGACGGGACTTTGGACAATATTTTGAATAAAATAGGTTTAGCATATTATACTCTGATATGCTTTTCAGTTGTTCAAACTTTTGCCAATTTATTCTGTAATCAAAAATCAATACAGACTTAATTTGGCTTTCTGGGAACCAAATGTTCAAAAATATTATCTTTTATCTCTTATTATAGATTTGAATTGATAAAGTGTTGAATATCGATAGTTGAACCGTTGAAGTCTTCGGAACCATGATTCGTTCCCAATATTAAGTCCTGTGTTCTGAGGCAATATAGCAGCTGTCATGACGAGGATACAAAAGCCGACTTGAGCAACTCTCTAACACTGTCAATTTATTGTCTTAAGTATTTGATATTGATGGTGAGTAAAAGAAACAATTCTATTATAAAAGGTCGCCAGATGATCGCGATATTTAAAAAAAGGTCTTCCATAAATTCTCCACAGAGTCGGTATACACCCCCTTATCTGATAATTTACAGAACCGGGTTATAAATTAAGTATATTACACATTGTCAGAAACAGAGTCTGAAACATTTTACAACCTTTCAACAAACACATGTGGCCGCAACCTATCTGCATGTAGAGTTAAAAAATTGCATATATTACTTTTCTACCTTTTTGTCATTCCT